TTGATATTTTGTACTGTCAAAGTTTATGTGCAACAATTTAATATATTTATTCTATGATTTTTTTGTTTTAATTTAGTGCAAACTAAATGCACAAGTTAAATTCCCCGCGTCACAAACAACATGCGGACACATACATTCAAACAATTCATGATCAGAACGACCTGTCATATAACGATGAGCCTCAAGAAAACTAAAACTGATATTGGCATTCAGGATGAACAAAAACGGAAAGTCGTCACCTGCGCATGCGACAAATGGCCATAGCGTGTCATTGTTTCCAAACAAGCATCTACCCATGGGCCAGTACTTAAAATTACAATTGACTGCAGCGAATAGTATATTTGCTCCATATCTGAAACTACTTGTCAACTGATCTCGTCAGCAACTTCAGACATCATTTGGTATTAATTATAAAGCGTCACAGTTGTTGCTTGTTGATGGGTGTCGTGGCTAGCCAAAAGTTAGACCAATCAGAGAGCAGATTGTTTGTTGACAGGTTTATTAGACGAATCAAATTTTGCCTTGTATATTAATGCTTCGACGTATTGATTTTATCGGTGATTTACAACTACAAAATGCGGCACACAATGGCATTTGTACTACTTTAAATCTGATGGACAAGCAACCCTTGACCAGATCTTATTTTGAGACTCCAATATAACGGCACTGGGCTACTACACCACGTTCTAGTTATAAATCGCAAATTCCACTGCAAATCATTGCACCAACATTAAATACCAACATATTCAATCACATAATAGTCTGTTTGATAGTATTCCACCTTAAGTATTTTGTATAAAAAAAAAAAAACGTTTCTATCATGTTATTTCCACCATTATTTGTTATGCTAAATTTTCACTGGCTCTCAATTGCAATTGTACATTTTTTCATATCTAATTGACTAGATAAACGAAAAATAAGCATCATTTTACAGTTACGCAGTGAAGAGATATAGAATTTGGCACAATTGTACTACTCGGCTAGTTGGATATTGTTTGATAAAGTTAAGTGATCAGCGCCCTCTATTGACAGATAGCGTTCTCTATTTTATCTGCTCAGTTCAAATTCTAATAAAAAAACATAACATTTTGTAAAAGACAATGTGCTAATCAGTATAACCTCACGATTCACTTGCAATTGGAAAACAGATATACACATAAACTAATAGTTAATGTAATAAGTAAAACGCCCACAGTCTCTGTGTAGCACAAGTCTATGTTACAATATACAGTGAAACTATTTATTTTCACTGACATTTAATATTTCACTATTTTGATGTTTTGAGCATATTCACTGTGCTCTAATTTCACGAATTTGTCAGGGATACATTCAGTTTAATTTATTGGTATTTTTCATGTTCACGTAGATTACATTTATCGGATTCAAGTTTGTATTAATGTCATGAATTTGTTTTCGCGTATCTGTTGACCGACTTAATTAGTTGATTATTAGCGAATTGCTGTGTTATGTCTGTCATCGTCTAGGCCTAATTGAAGTTTTGGACGGAACTTGGCTCAGTGATTTGGAACTAATTACAAGATACCGTCGCTATTCTGACATCCGTAGTTATTAATGAAGTGAACGATTAATCAAAAGATATGACGTATTCAGTACTTAGTGTGATTGGCTTTATGATTGAAGTTTACGCCTTAGAGTTTTTTTACTGCTTTGTAATTGGTTAGAGTTGTGAAAATGAATAAAGAGAGTTTGAGTTGGTCTTGACGAGCACAGCACGATAGACGCAGTAGAGAGAGAGGCAGTCGAGAGTCCAGTTCAGGGGCGAGCCTTGAGGCAGTCCAGTCTTGGGCGAGTCTTGGTTCAGCCTTGTGAGAGTCTTGGGGACTTTTCCCCAAGGCGCTGTGTCTGGTAGAGTGCTCGATTGACCGACTAAGACGAGAGCTGAAACGTATTTCGTTGTGCGTGCCTTATTTGACTGTAAAGTAAAGTGACTTTCCCGATCCCGTACCTCAAGGGGACGAGATATAGAGACGAGACGAGTTTCCCCCCTGGCAAGTGTGGAGAACCCCGTGGAGAGGATTTACCCCCTGATATTAAAACCCAGTGAAAAGGATAATTTTCAATGGACGTTTTCTACGCACATCATAATATAGTAAAAAAGCATATATCTGTGCCTTCTACCAGCTGCTGATGATGTGCAGATTTAATGTAATATCTCAGTGCTCAGAGTAAGCCTACCGAATTTTACGTAATGAAACGTAAACAGATTTCAACTCTTTTTTTTCTGGCTAACAATAACACTCTTTTCGGACAGTATCAATCGCGCTCATCGTCCTTGTCCTACTTGGCTTTTTACACTAGTATAAATAAAAGATCATAGTCTACATATGATAGCACGGATAACACAGATTTAAATATTCCTTTGTGCTATGTCGATTTCCCAACTGTCTGACTAATTGAATATCATCAACCTTAACACGAAGGTACAACAAGATGAAACAACTTATGACGTCAAAACAGATAATAGAGTTAAAGTTCCGTTGGCTTGGTGCCAAGTTTTGTTCCGTGTATGATTTTCACGTGTGTTAATAACTTAATTAAAAAATAATAATTAGAAGGCATATGGAATATTTTCAAACAATTTCTTTTCAACTATTTTTTGTAAATTTCGTTAAAAATAAAAAAAAAATAGTAAAATACACAAAAAAATGTGCAAAGTGTTGCACGTAAACATTGAATGGAAAAGATTATGGTATTGAATAAGAGAACATAAGAGAGTAAAATATTGCATAGAAAAGAAAAAATAGATATGCATTGTCAAAAATGAATTAGCGTATTAGAAGTGACCAATGACTAATCACAAATTTGTACTGAAATGTCAGCTTTCAAATAATATTACCAATGAAAGTAAATATGAACATAGATATACAGTAACACAATGCCAAATTTCGAATCGAATATTAGCAATATATATATAAAATATATAAAAGCAAAATAAACGCCGTACAGTACATCTGATATTTATCTGGTTGCTATTTTTAATTCGCAAAGCATAATAGCATAGTATATTATAGAGTGTTTACAATTATACAGATGCATTCTGTATAATGAAGTGTTCATAAAAATTCAATAACAGATTTGTTTGTTATTCTGTATTAGTGTATATAAAATCGAGGCATTTATTGTACTTTTTTTTTTTAAATTTTTTTTTAATAAACGTATTTGTGCCAGGCGTCAGTTCCGGACATTCAATGTCGCTGTTGTCTCTCCTGACTTTATTTTGTAAGTGCAAATTGCAAGTGCTAGTGCTGACAAATAGTGTGTCATTTCCTGTTTGGGACTCCATGACAGGGCTGAGTGGCCATCTCCCTATCAAATGGCAATTTCACTGCGCTATCCTAGCGTCAACCAGGCTCGGTCGAACACAAGCACCTGTGGACCTTAACCAAGGTTCCCCCAAAGTCACATTCGTTAGTGAATGAATCCCGGCCAGTGGAATTGGCCTTCCCATTAAGTCTGTGGCACACTCCCCAGGTAGGGGGTCGCCCCTTTTGATGTTCAGCCTATGGTAGGATTTGAACTTGGGTCTACCGATCATGAGTCTGATGCGTCAACCACTAAGCTACCAGTGACCGGTTTATTGTACTTTATATAGTAGTTTATGAAATGTAAAGTTAGGACTGTTTGTTTATTAAATTATACTGCCACCATCATCAGACTCGATTCTCAGCGATGCATATAGTGTGTCAACATAGATTGTTTGCTTTTGCAGTTGAGACGGTATAAAATCATGATAGTATATTATCTACGAAAATTTAAATCTATTGGTAGCGCACGCATTTATTCAAATGAGATGTGACTATTGTCATTATAAGTTGTATTGATCCAGCATACAATAAATAATCTGATTGGTTTGAAGATGAGATAATTATTTAAATCGTAGCCCATTCAAATATGAGCATTTCAATTTAAAAAATTAAAATGAGTGTAGGTGAATATGTATTACATATGTATTCAGCGGAAATCGCAATTTTTAAATCATCTTATATTGTGTTTATGTAAACATCTAAGAAGCTTCCCCCAAACATCGAGCTAGGTGAAACCTGAGTAGGTGAAATGAGAATGGAAACGTATCCAGGGAAACAACCTGTGAAATCGCGAGCTGTTTTTGTTTGTTTGTACAACCACCTTCAAGTTTGTCACGATCAAGCTCAGATAGATTTGAAGAGATGCAAATTACGCAGTATACATTAGATGGTATTTTTCACCCTAATTGTCAGCATTGAATTCACAGTGTACAAACTGCATTCTTATTATTTTAGATTGCCTATTTAGCGAAGATGAGTCTAATAAAATTGTCCACGAATAGCACTGTAGCTTCAAACTCGATAAAACCATGTTCGCAAGAGAATGCACGACCGCATCTTCTGCATTGCGAGTATACAATATACCTAATACTGAATATTATAACTTTCTTTTGTTTATAGTTTCTCAATACTTCTAAGCATGGAATATTATTTATACAAGACGAAACGCGCATGAGAAGTGCATTCAAATGACAAGGCATGGGAACCGCCATTGACAGTGTCAATATTGTGTTTATTCTGTTCTCGTCCGCAAATAAAACAAATCTTTCGGGATATCTACTACTAACATACTAAATGAGATACGACGACACCGCACCATACGGTTATCACTTTGCTCTCATCAAATGTTGTTTTACGTCACGGAAGCGCGTCGACGCTAGTTGGCGCCACGTATAGTTTTGGTGAAATTAAAGTATAATTTCAATATATTCGTGTTAGGTATCTAATTTGTCACAGAAACTTTAAATAAACAAACAAAACGTTGTCGTATATTTTATTTCTACATTATAAGAATCTTAAATTTCCTAATTACTAAATAATGTCTCAGCATTGTCATTTTCTTGCATTCTCTTTAACTTTTAAAACAACCAAATAAGTCATATGACAAAACGCTAATAATTCAAATTGGATTATTATATATCATCCCTTTTTTATTATTTTATCATTTTATTGTAGCTCATTAGAGGCGAGTATCCCTACTTACATGACGATGATACATGTATCTGGTACGGAGAGTGTGGGGACAGTAACATAACTGGAAAAACGGTCAACTGTCTGTATAACAACAGATCTCTTCCATTAACTGATACACTTGGTATTGGCATGCTGGAGGAGGTTTGTCCTAACCTGGCTTTCAAAGATGAGACGACCGGGGAATACATGACTTGCTGTGACACGGAGCAGCTTGGCACATTACAGAGACAAACAGCCTTCACACAATCTGCTTTTGCACGTTGCCCGGCATGTCTAGCGAACTTTATGAACCTGTACTGTCAGTCGACCTGTAGCCGACATAATAGCAGGTTTGTCAATGCCACGGTGATACTAGAAAGGGAAGAACACAACGAAACACAGATTTATGAGGTTGACTACTACCTAACGCAACGGTATGCCGATGGCTTGTTTTACTCTTGTAATGAAGTCATCTTCCCCTCCACAAACTCCCCCGTGATTGGACTCATGTGCGGCTCGTATTCTGCCGAAGATTGCACAGCTCAACGATGGTTAGACTATATGGGGAACATTGATAACGGAGTAACGCCTTTTCAAATGAATTTTATCATAACACCGAACGGCACCGACATCGGATTCGGAATTGAGCCTATGAATACGCGCTTTGTACCTTGTAATGAAGCACCCACCAATGACACCTACTCATGTAGTTGCCAGGACTGCTCGTTGTCATGCGGCGATGCTTTAGAACGACCCCCAGAAGAGGAGCCATGGCTCATAGCCGGTATAGACGCCATTCTCTTCATAATGATAATGGTATTCTGTTTGTTTGTGGTAGTGTATCTCGGACTTCTAGCTTTTTACTATATAAAGGTGAAAGAAAGTAATGTCGATTATGATTTGGATGACAAGGAACTTTATGTAGACCCCGATGAAATTAGCTGTTTTGATAAGTCAGCATATAATCTAGATAAATACATGACCATAGGGTTCACCCGTTGGGGCATCTTAGTAACATCTCACCCCATAAAAGTAATTGTTATCGCGCTTATACTCGTCACTATATGCGGCCTTGGAAACATGTTCATAGTCATCACAGTTGATCCAATTGATCTGTGGGTTTCTGAAGACAGTCAGTGTTTAAAAGAAAAAGAGTACTTCGATACACACTTTCAGCCATTTTGGAGAATAGCGCAGGTCATCATCACAGCAACTGAACATAATTCTTCTATCTACGAATCTTGGCCAAATGGAGTTCCCGAGAATTTCGGACCTGTTCTGCAAAGAGATTTCCTACATCAGGTAATAACATTTTACAATGAACAGGTCATTTCTGATTTAAATGGCCAGCCTAGAAGGGGAGATACAGCTAAAGTAGAACTAATCTCGCCATAGTGTTGCTATACTCTGCAATAAGTGTTGCGATATATGCCTCGTCCGTTGCTATGCTACAAAATATTGTATAAAGAAGAAGTTTATTTTGATAGTTGTTTTATTTCGTAGAAAAACAAACCCAGTGTAATATTAGTTCAACAATGATATGAAATCAGGCAATCATACCACCTTTAAATGTCATTTTATGAACCGGGTCTCATCCTTATACAATGAATTACATCTGTGCATGTCTTTCAGGTTCTGATTATGCAAGATTATTTAAACTACATGGAGGTGTACTATGAACCAGACGACGAATACATCACTTCGGCTGATATATGCTACAAACCACTTGAACCGGATAATATGCACTGTGCGATACAGAGTGTGCTACAATATTATCAGAACGACCATGAGTTGTTAAATAAAGTAGTACACGAAGAGGGTGATGAGTACTCAGCGGATTACAGAGATCATTTCCTGTATTGCGTAAAGTGAGTTTTTCGCTCTGCGACATCTTTTGAAACCGATTTAAATCACATTGCATCACAATTTGAATTTCTGTTTTTTTAGTTTAAAGGTATGCTTTGATTTGTAAATTTACATTTCCAGTTTTAGCATGCGTCGGATTTGCTGGCTATAACGAAAATTCACCAACTCATTTTTTGTCTTAGCTCACCTACATCAGTTCAGGATACAACACCGTATGCAGAACCTTGTCTAGCAGAGTATGGTGGTCCGACCTATCCGTATACTTGTATGGGAGGATATGACGGTAAATATAAACAAAAAAAAGATTTTCGATTTCAAAAAATTCGACACTAATATATTTCCTGTTACCAAATATTAATATGTTATTTTAATTTCAGACGATAACTACAACAATGCCACCGCATTATTAATAACGTTCTTGAACGACAACTACATAGACAATGACAAAGCCGTAGACAAAGTTGACACCTGGGAGGGAGCCTTTCTTGAAGTTGTATCTCACTGGAACAATTCAAATTTTAGTTTGTCCTACTTTGCAGAGGTGAGACTACATCGATTATCTAGACTAATTAAAACAAAATCTTTTGATCTATGCTAAATAATAATAATAATACAATTTATTATATGATTTTTATGATTATATTGTATTAATGTCATACTCATACATGCACACTGCTAGATCTACATACATTTTTAGTTTTGAAGCTGTTACTCTTATTGATCAATACTATTGCAATCTTTTTTTTTCTAGCGGTCGATTGAAGATGAGCTGATTCGTGCAAGTAAAGCAGATATTTCTACCATCGTCATTAGTTACATATTTATATTCTGCTACATTACGTTAGCTCTTGGTGAAATCTACCATTGTGACCGTTTACTGGTAAGAACTCTCCCTATGACGAAGTTTCTTTTTTCTTGTACTTCAGTTTTTGTTTATATATAGAATGTATGGAATGTTGCAGATGTAAACATTCACAAGATAAGTAGCTCACCTCATCCCAAAGGTTGCATGTAACACTTTTTCACCACCTTTCTTTCTTATGACAGATTGACTCCAAAGTGACTCTCGGGTTAGGAGGAATCCTGCTTATTCTGTGTTCAGTATTTGCAGCTATGGGAGTCTATGGTTACATAGGTGTTGAATCTACACTCATTATTATTGCAGTGGTGCCATTCTTGTTGTTAGCGGTTGGTGCCGATATGATGTTCATATTCGTTCTTGATTACCAGGTATGCTACTTTCACTCGCTGCACTGAATTCCTTATGTCAGATAACTTGATCATTGTACAGTTAGCATCACATCTAATATTCAAAATTCGGGAGTGTGAACTGGTTCAGGAGAGGAAGTTGGGATCGATAGTATAATTTTCTTATGCCCTCCAATACCATAGTCTGGCCAATAAATTGTTTACCAAATGGGAACTCATTTATAATCTTTAGTAGAATCACTTCGCATATAGTGATGACATCATCAAAATATGTCGACATTATATTGTCCCAAATCGCGCTATAGAAGTCAATAGAAGTCGATCATTACAAAATAATCATTCCAGCTGTTATCATACAGGGAATATTATTTTTGCGAGTAAAATGGTAAACCTAAACATGTCTTTAAGAAGGGTAAATAATTCATCATAAAAGCGGCATGCTGTAAATGCCATGATAAAGGACAGATTAATCACTGTATACTTATCAATGGGAAATGAAAAATGCTTCATAAAATGTGAGGCCCTGAATTGAAAAAGTATTTAAGGCAGGGGGTCGTCACCTGCGCATGCGTCAGACGTGTCATTGTTTACAAACAAGCGTCTACCCATGAGCCTGTGCGTTTTTAGCGTGTGTTGTTATCGTCGCTTGGAACTCAATTCCCGCGCGTGCGCAGGTGACGACCCTCCCGCTTTAATAATACCCTACTTGTAATATGCATCTCTCTAAAACTAAACACCATCGATGCAACAGTGAGACACAAAACGAAGATCCCACATCAAACATGCAAAAAAGATAGGGGGAAGAGCACAGTATTCAGAACAAAACAAACAAACCTTGAGATAAATGTACAAGCACGTACTAAGACGGAGGCAGGCAGTGACAGCACCAGGAGGGAATGGAATAATGACAGACTGTTCCTGACATATATTAAGGGAAGGTGGGCATAAATTACAGGCATATTATAAGCATATAAAACTCACAGAGCACTTCACCGATGTAAGCAGAGATGTACCTATTTAAAACACTTTGAGAAGCTAACCCTCATAAGCAGATGTTTAGTGGGATCATCTATTGAAGTCTGGCATTCAATAAGATCAGTATAGCTTTTGCCCAAAATAGTATATTCCACTATTTCCCTCTGTTGGATCCCTGTTGGCCATAATAGAGGCAGATAAGATTTAAGGAGATGAGTAAGAAGGCATTACTAGTTTAAGGCAGTTGTAAATATACAAATTCAAGGACACAAAGTAAATGGATGACACATTATTCCATACTACCAAACATATCTGACCAAACATGATTGTAGATTCTTTATAAATACGTACAGCTTCACATGGGGTACCCACCATATACAAAACAATCACAAACTTCAATTGCCTCAATTGATGTATTATGCATGAAAAAGACCTTTGCTACAATTTCAATATATAATCGATCGCAAATGTCTTGAATGACGGAACATGCTTCTCATGATAGGCGCAGGGATATTCCAAGTACAAGTCAGATATATACACGTAGACCACATCCTGAGTTTGAGTGTATTTTAGTAATACATGTACATCTCTTCCATTTTCAGAGAACAGAATTGCTGCCGGAGGAGACACGGGATCAAAAAATCAGTCGTGTCTTGGGTTGTGCCGCACCTAGCATGGTGCTATGCAGTCTTACCGAATCGATAACGTTCTTTTTAGGTAAGTAATGTGCTGTTTATCATTCACAAATCCACGTTGGAGAAAAAGCAATTGACCCATTATTAGATAGTGATTTGATTATCAGCTAAACAAAAACATGTCAGCTTTGTAGATTTCCAGCTGGTCTCCGAGTCTTGTGCAAGGCGAATTACTTACCATGGTGTTTACTGTTTATGTGTTTTATTATCTTCAGGTGCTTTAACTACCATGCCAGCTGTCCGTACATTTGCATTGTATGCAGGGTTAGCAGTATTATTCAATTTTCTGTTACTCATTTCCGCATTTACTGCACTATTAGCACTGGATCTTAGAAGACAAGACGTGAGTTTTACCTTACCATATTGTCATACTTCCATACCTATGCTATCCTATCATATCACACTCAAGCCTACCTTAACCTATCCTAGTCCGCCCAACCTTTCTCTACCTACACTATCGTACCCTATCCCACCATATCCCATTATAACCAACCTACTTCACCCAACTCTCTCCTATCCTACCATATCGTAGCCTATGTACCCTGTCATATCCTACGCTCCGGATTCTACCCATCTTATTCTGCCCCACCCTTCCCTACTTACCATATCCTATCCTACGCTGCCCTATCATACCCTAACCAATG